AGGCTCTATTTTCCTGCAAGTACCAGGCTCAGGTTTAAGAAAGTGTGGTCACACCAAGGACTGCATGGAAGCACATTTGTATTGAAGGTGCCATAGCAGAACATGGGGTTTCACAGCAAGAAAAGTTTGTTTTTGTGAGAAAATCATTGAATTTGGCCAGAAATGCGGGGAACACTAAGAAGTTTTTTTTGCAAATGTATTATGGTAATAAGCAGTGGAAAAACAACTTTGGACCATTATAGGATGAAGATGTTCACCTCACAAAGAGGGAGGGACGTGGACATGGCAGAAGTATTTAATGCATTCTTTGTCTCTATCTTCAACATGGACTATGGATCGAGGGGGTCTCAGTGCCCTGAGCTGGAGGACCCTGATTGTGAGAATGATCAGTTTCCATTCAACCCTGGAACTGTGCAGGATTTGCCTCCCCAGCTGGATCCCTACAAATCTATGGGATCTGATGGGAATCATTCAAGAATCCTCAAAGAGCTGCCTGGTATCATTGCAAAACCTTTCTTGATGGTTTTTGAGCAGTCCTGGGAATCTAGAGAGGTCCCAGCTGATTGGAAGCTGGTGAACATTATCCCAATTTTCAAGAAGAGCAAGCAGGAGGACCCCAGAAAACTACAGGCCTGTCAGTCTCACTTTAGTGCCTGATGAAGTTATGGAGATTTTTCTGGGAGGTACCAAAAAATACCTGAAAGACAACACAGTCATGTGGTCACAGTGTGAAGTCTGACAGACTTCAAGAAGTCTTTGGACAATGCTTTTGGGCACATGGTGTGATTCTAGAGAATGGTGCTGTGCAGGGATGGGGTCTGGACTCGATCCTTGTGTGTCCCTTCCAAAGGGAAGGGACACACAAGCTTATTCCATGATTTGCTTATTCCATGATTCTGTGAAAGTCAAACATGATAGAAACAGCCCTTCCCTTTGCCACACAGCAAGAGGATGTCTGAGGCAATGCCAGGAGTAGTAGCAAGCTTTGCTTTTCTGTTTTTATCTCCTGGCAGTACGAGGATCATGGCTCAGCCAGGGCTAATCCAAGGTCCTCAGTGTTCTTCTGAAGGCAGAAATTCTGCATAAGACTTGTATAGCCCTGGTGGATGTCAATTTATGGAAGCTTTTCTGCAAATTGGAAAGTTGGGTGACTAAACACTCATCATTTACTCTCATCTTCAACCCCACACAGGGGACTCACCAGCAGATAAAGCCATCTCCTGTGGCCCCTAGAAGCCATGTGAGGAATATGGCCCAGGACTTCCACAAGACTGAAAGATACAGAGGCATGATGGAACCTGAAAGCCTCTGGAAAGCTTCCTGAAGGAGGATCCAAGCTTGGTGGCTGTGGTCCCACTACTTGGCAGTGCCTTAGTAGGCAGGGTGAATTGTGCCCCACTGGCATGCTCCCTGACTGGCCCTGAGGGATTCCTCATGCCAGTGATTCCTCATTCACCACTCATTGTGCTGAATTAGGGAGAGAAGGCAGTTCCCTGGCATTTCAGAGCATCCCCAGGGCAGTCACCAAGGCCTTTCCCTGGTGCAGGGTTCCTTTTGACTAATGCAGAACGATTCCTAAACTGTCTCCTATTCCTGGGAATGACACACAGGGTAAAAAGAAGGACTTTCTGAGCATTAAAAGTACAGCGAATTCCAGAAGCTCATGATTATTTTTATAACCAAAGCTTCTTCCTGTAATAGCAGTTCACATTTGGTGTTGTTGATCTCCACTGATGAATAATTTAGGTAGATAAAAAACATAATTCATCAAAGCCAGGGAATATAATGAAAATCTCTCTGAGTAAAGAAATCATGAAGAAAGGGGTTTAAGCCTGCATAGCATTTCCCATAGCCAAAGCTAAATCCATTCTTCCTTTCACAGTACAGACATGTTATCAACCTCCTGCCCCACCTTCTCCTTCTAGCTCATAGTACAGTGGCCACTTCACAAACTTGCGTGTGGGTATCCAAGTCTAGCTGCCATCCTTTGCCAAACTCCAAGTTAAAATATAAGGCACCAAGTTATCAAATGTCCTCAAAATGTGTTAACCTGGGACTTGGTCTCAGTCTCCCTGGTGGAATGTGACACCTGGCATATGTATTTATGCATTAGGTCACCAGTGGAGGATATGAGGCTACAAAGTGAGAACTGTAGCTCAGTGGCTGCAGCAGTTGTGTGGTGCTAGGAGAGTCTGCAATCCTGAGCCCGAGAAATATTCTAACTACTGAATTGAAAATTAGAGCTCCCCTTACTCAGTGGTTTATAACAGTTTGGAGTGCTCAGCTCTGGCAAATGATGTGACAGAGTAGGTGGGAGCAGATTGAGTTGGTGTCTTCATGTCAGACTCGGGTACAAAGTAGGTGCCAAGTAGCTCAGCATCATTAAGATGTGGGTGTTTTACACATTCCCAACAGCAAAAGTCAGGCTGTACATACTCCCTCAGGAACTCACGTATCAGCTGAATATCCAGATCTCCACTGACATGTTGGGTGGCCAGAGGTGTTGCAGAAGTACATTTTTATCACAAATCAACAGGACATAAGACCTGAAAGTGCTGATTGCCCCCCAAATCTGAGCTATCACCCCTCCCACACAAGTGGAGCACCTTTGCCAAGGCACAAAAGTTAAGAGATCACTTGCACTGGGCTCTCTACTATGAGCACTGAGCTCCTGGATGGGCCGACTTCATCTCCTTCTCCACCAAGGTTCCCCAGCCAAACATCCACACAGGGTAATGTAGGCAAATGTAGCCTGTGCACCCAAAAAAAGGTAAATGACCAAAGTTTTTCCCAACGGATGGACCTTCTCCAGGGACTCAGGTCAGTGAGTAGCTATGGCCTCCCCCTGCACTCCTCTCATGTGGAGGATTTATCAGCATCATGCCACACTGTCATTAGTAGTCACTACTCAAACCTTGCTGCAGTCGGGTATGAGCTAAACTACTTCACACAACTATGTACCACGAGGTGTATGGATCAGAATAACTTTTCTGTTTTGTCCTTGCCCATCACGGGCTTGTGTCCCAGTACAGGGAAACCCTGACTATTACAGGAAACCAGAAATGCAAATGCCTAAGGACAGATAAATGAATATTTAATTCAAACCAGCAAGATGTTGTTTGCAGTTATTTATTTTACTAAAATGGTTACATATGTTGAAACAAAGAAGAGCAATAGTAATAATGTTTGTTTTTCCAATATCATAAATAATTACTGAGTTTTCATTAGCTGTTGGCTCAGCACTGATCATGACTTTCGTTATTTAAAAAAGACACACACATAATTCATCAGAATTTGTGTTTTCAGAAAACTCTAAAGCAGCAGTAGAAAAAAAAATAAATTAAAGGAAACAGTAACAAGAAATTAGGCCAAGTATTTCTTAAATTTAAAACCCACTTGATGTGTTTTACAGATTATTCTTGTGCTTTGATCATTGGAAAAGAGAACCATTAACAAGTTGTTTATACAATGGCTTGCCTTCTCCAGTTTTACTTCAGAGGAGTCCCCAAAAGTACCCTTTCTACATGACAAATTTTGTTGTTTATACAGACAAAAACACTGAATATTCCTAACAGAAGAGTTTGTCAAAACCATGAATTTATTGTCACAAAATATTTAATACCAGAATAACTTATAATAGTATGAACAAAAGTGAAGTATTAACTCTCTGCTATTAGTTATAAACTCACATTATTATGCCAAAATCCAGTAAAGTATTAAAAATTAATGTCATGGAATCTTAGACATATAATGATGCAAGTCAGTAAAACATACTTCAACTGTTCATACAGTCACAACATACATTTCTTGCTTGGCACTTTAAGTCAATGCAAATCAGCAATTTAGAAAACAAAGTAAAAATATATATGTACAAAATATTTTCATATCAAATAATTTTCATTGTACACTAAATAAAACCAACAACGTTATGTTACATCAAGAAGTTTCCTAAGAAGTCACACCAAGTCTGATATTTGCAATGTGTCTTGACTATTTTAGTGCAACTCAAACAGCCTCTATTTGCAAGTTAGTTACATCATTAGCATAGTCCTGCTTCCATTGATGTGGGAGTTCTGCCATTAAACTCAGCAGGAGCAGAACTGAAGTCTTGTCTTGTTCATTGATGGCTCACCAGAAAGAGAAGCAAGGAAAGGGATAAGTAGGAAAAAACCTGACAGGATACCCACAGGAAAAAATCCAAATCCTAGCAACAATCAGCTCTTTTCCAGTTTTCTGTAACAGATTCTGTATAAATTGGTTTTGGCTTTGCCACTGTTTATTCAAGCACTGTAAACCTCATTAGACTATTGTTATATGACTTAAAAATAACTTGTACACCTCCAGATAAAATTTTAAAATAAACCTGGTTTTATGACAGTTATTACACTCAATAGCAGTCAATTTTAGAGACATGACATTTAATGCATGGTTTAGTATCTTCTTAAAACCCTCCTGCCTTAAATGCTGAGATTTTTCAATGTTACAGTTCCTTCTGTGATTCTTGTTTGGGCTTTGATCGTTTATATTATAGGCTTTTCTTACTGAAATGTGAAATGTCAATCAACTGTCCTTATTTATGCAGTACATACAAAATAAAAATGTTTGAACCACATTAAAGTAATAAGTTCCACCATGGAAACATTTCTGAATGGCACTAGAGTTTTAGTTTTGTACAAGAAGAAACCAATTTTACTTCTATCAAAACTTCAGTAAGTCACTAGTAAAGCTTTAAAATTATAGAAATTCAACTTGAATTTACAACTAGTCTGACTAAAACCTTCTCAACTAGAAATCTTTAATGAGCAACACAGCATATGTATAAGTTCAAAATAATCTGAACAATTAACTTATTTCCTAAATTTGTGTGTTCTAGAGTATTGCACTTTTCAAAGGAATGGTTTTGGTATTTTAATATACTGAATACAGGTAAGAAACATGCATAACAACCTTATTGTCACTTTGACAAAACATACTGTACAATTTTTATAACACTGTTGATTAAAAAAAAGAGAGTGAGAATGATGTAACAATTTCATTAAGACTCATCAATTTGTACAAGTCAAATAAGCACAACTCTCCAGGGCCTTCAGCAGTAATGTGTTTAGCCCTCGGCTGCTTAAGCCCACTTGGAATAATATACAAAGTTTAAGCATTATGGCATTGTCATTTTGAGGCATACCACTGTTGTACTATGCCCACGTTATAGCTTATTTTTTCAAAGCAAGGCACTTACTGTAATAGCAATGCAAACATCTTATGCGCACTTCGATTAACATAAAATAAGTTAATGTTTTGATAAAAACAGGGTTTTTATAATTTACATGCCTTTTATAGAAGCAGTTGAACATTTCATTTAATACAATGAAAACATCTGAGTCAGAAGGGACCTTAATTTTTTTAACTGACCATTCTGTAAAAAGGGACCTATTTTCCACATTTTCCCCCTGTCTGTGAACCGGATTTTGCTGAAAACAAATCCTGTGAGGGAAATGTCTGTTTGATGTGAAAAAGAAAGAGGACCCATCCCTTAAAACTGCTGAACTAATGGCACTTTAACAGTCTTTACTTCTGATATATGTGATGATTTCTGAATGATGCAGCTGGTGGTTCCCTGCAGTTTGTCCTTCCCCTGGGCAAGGTTCGTTAGGGCCATAGCTGCGTTGATCTCCTTCCAGTACGTCTCATCTTTGCTGGGTCCCCTTCTGTTAGCTGCACTAGATTCAAGCAATAATAAATATTTACACACACATCTTACATAGCTACATGATGTCAGGAAAACTGCAATAGCAACAATAGTTTTGGAAAAACTGTGAAGTCCCTTACTCACCTTTCACACTTATTTGGTCCGTTCTCCAGATTTTCTGAAAACAGGAAAAGAAAAGTCTATTTTATTTTAATAGTTTTAAAAACAAGCATGTTCAGGGAATAGGCATATTGAAACATAACCCAAGATTTATTCCAAATTTGCTACCAGATCTAAAAGAAAATCTTTGCTTTGACACACATAAAGGACCAGCTTCATGCAGGCATCTTCCTGGAGAAAGCTACACTGAAGGTGTAGCTGTTCCTGAAGGTTCACCCACACTTTTCAGGGCAATAGAGGAGCTCTTCAAAACATATTTATGTTTTGAATACCAAGGACATAAGGAATTGCAAAACCTAAAAATAAAAATCAGCTTCATTGCCTTTCAGTGAATGCCTTCTAGTATGCACTAAAAATAGGACTCTCACCATGCACACATGATGTGTGTGGGTTTCAGTGCTCCCCTTGCCCAGGCAGTGCCTCAGTCACAGAGGCAGCTGAGAGGGACACAAGTAACAAGCACACCTGGTCAACAGCCCTCAGAGATGAAACTGCATCACAGGCATAAACTACACTTCCTCATCAAGAGTCATATTTGTTCATTCACTAAGTCCTCACGTCCCAGAGAAGCCAGAAATATTTACAGAAATGTATAAGCTTTATTCAGTGGGTTTGCTATCCTGACACAGAAATACATTATAGAGGAGCAAGAAGCCAATGCCCAACTGCAATTTCTATGGAAAACAGGTCAAACCAAAGAAACAGCAATAGCATGAGCACTAATGGCTACAAGACCCAAAAAGCCTCTAAACACAACATCAATCTCAAAGTAATGTACATCTTTGTGAGGCCAGATTCCCAAATAAAATCAACCTTACAGCTAGATTTCCATCAGGTTATTAGTTAGAAGTTGTTCTTGCCTTTAAACAGAGTTTCCAGTGGAATAACCCTTGGTAGCCCTTCCCTTAGGAGCAACCTTGCCCCCCACAGCCAGCAGCCCATTGTCTCCTACAGCCAATAACTCAGCTCAGCTGCACTGCCCAGTACTTGGAGGTGACTGCTGGAGACCACAGTCCCACTAAAGAACCACAGGGAGACCAGCTGCAATTTCAGAGATCAGCTGTTTGCCTGTTTGATCCAGCAGGCCTTCATCCTTTTAAAAAACAGCTTTATAAATAAATGTTCCCAGGTGACCAAGATTTAAGCTTTGGTCCAAAAGCACATAGCTTAAATCAGTATCTCTTAATATTTCCTAGAACAATGCTTGAATAGGATTCAAGAAGGGGAAGTCCAGCCTAAGCAGAGAAAGGAACGAAGGAGAAAAGAAACATTTGATCCATAAAGAGATACTGGATGACACAAAAAGTCTCATTTTTTCACACTGTACTTGGCTACGAAGAATTCTTCAGCCCTGCTTCATTGTTTTTTCTAATTAGAGACAATTTTCAAGATGATATTTGGGACTGAACAGATCAGTAGGTATAGAAATGGAAATGGCAAGTAATAGAGAACATCATGGCCAGAGCAAACCTGGATATAAATACACCTCTCTCAAGCATCTGTCCGTTTCTTTTGCTGTTGGAAAATATTTCCTATGAACAAAAAAATTGCTTGTACAAACTTCTGTGGGAAGTAGGTGTGAATGGTGACACACATTCCAATTCCAGCGTTTATTTGAAGGAGTATTCGCAAATATTTTTTACTGGTGTTTAGCCAGCTCTCAAAGAAAGCATGTTGCCCATGATATATAAAAGCAGTAGCAATACTAAAAAATAAAATCCAGGGGGAATGAGCTGCCCATTCTTTAACTTTGCTGGAGATTTTTCCTGAATCACATATATTTTCTTATTCTGTTCAGATTTTATGTTTTTTTCAAATAAATAATTTATGTCAAAGAAACTCAAAGCTAGGTTAAAATAAAACCATCACTGATAATTTGCAAAGCTCTGGTTAATAACTGCTCTTAAAGCATCTTAGTACAATGAAGTCTGAAAATCCATAATTTCAAAGAACAAGCCCTCTTTTTCTTGCAAAAAATCCTTTTCTGCTATACCAAACTTCTGACAGCATATGCCAGTTTGCACTACCACAGCATCCAAGCAGCTCCCTTGTGTCTGAACAGCCTTTAGCAAAGGAAATAAGTATTACCTTTTTTTTTTTGGTTGGGGATAACCTCAGTGAGAGAGACAAAGACCTTTCCTTACGCTCTCCTTGACATCTTGCCAGTCAAACCAACGTGATGTGACTCAAAGCGAAAGTGGGGTTCACTTCACATGCTATGAATGTGAAGTGAACCCCACATAAATTTATGTGACCCTAAGTCACATAAATTGGTATCCTTTTTTGTCTGGACTCCATTCATAAAGAACAGAGATGTTCCCCAACGAGTGGATTCAGCCATTCTATTCAACACTGCAGCCCAATATCCCTGCATGCTGCTGCAAAGCCAAATCCCCGAGTCCTGTTCTGTGGCCCCTTCCTCACACTTTGTCCTTTGGACAGCATTATCATCCATGTGGATATGCTGAGAGCTGGATGGGGGAGGACCATATCTCTCCTTTGGCTATTCAGTATATCAATGATTCATATCTATTTTTATATAGAGACATTAGACACTGCTAGTGTAACTACAGCCTTAATGGCTTAGCTCAGCCTGGAAGAAATGCAGGCTGGTCATGTCTGGCTCCTCAGTCCCCAGAGAAAGAACATAGATGACAAAATGTTATCAATCATATTAAAAAACTGCAAAATGGTGAGTCTTACCAATATTTTGCTTTTTCTTCATCTTTTGTAATCTATCTGCTCTGCCTCCAACTACTAATTAAAGATTTTTATAATTGAAGCTTTTAATATTCGAGGTACCTTCACAAGAATCGCAACGTATATTTCAACTGTAAAAGCAACATTTTGGTGAGATTGCTCCATGAAAATAATCAAAGAACTGCACTCTCCAAATGGAAAATGTTCATTTGCTTGACCATCACACACCACATCCCTAGATTTAATCTCTGAGGCAATTAGGAAATGGCACTGGGGCTGGGTAGCCTCCCTGGAAATGGTGATGAAAGGAATGGGAAAACAATGGAGCATCCTGAACCTCACCAAGTAGCCTCAGCTGAGGACTCACCCCAGAGCAAGTGCTAATGGGCACTCCACTCACGACCCTCTCTCTGCAATGTGAGAAGCAGCACTTTACCAGCCTTGAGGTGCCAAAGGTGACCAGAGCTGTTCTCTCCTTTGGTTACCTTTGACCTCATACACCTTTGCTGGCAGAACCTCTGGTCTCTTCCTAAAGAGTGGGGCTCTCTCAATAGTCAGATCAAGGCAAGCTGTCACACAAATCCAAACCCCCACAGACTGGTCAAGCTTAGATCAGTGTGTCAAGTGACTCCTGGAAAAGCCAGCACTGATGAATTATTGTATTCCACACCATTCCCAAGATTCATTTGATTAAAAAATTATTAAGGTTAAAAATACTACACACAGACATAAATACATTTTAACAGCATACAACCGGCCAGCACAAATAATTTTCCTAAACAAACAAGAGTAGTGCTCAATAGCATATTTAGTAATTGAAATCAGAAGAAGCTGCTGCTGAAGGTGGTTTGTAGCATCTCAGAAAAGATTATGCTTCTTGTCAAAGGATGTTGGTAGGCTTTCAACATATATTGAGATTCTATAATAAATCTATTTAATATTAAACCTCAGAAATACCTTTTTGCTACAGGTTTGGAAATCACTTAAAATAGTGATCATTTACTCTGTAGCCAGAAAGTTTTAAACACTGTGAAAATAGAAACTTAATCATTTAAAATTAGGGGTTGTCATTTATACCTCACTTTCTGGTGCTTCATTCTGTAAGGATCCAGAGAATTGCTTTGGCCTGGCCAAGAATGTCTCATTCTGCTCTCAACATCCACCCAAAGAAACCAGCAAGGCAGGATATTTGTTCCCTCTTGTTTATAATAGGAAGTCACTATAAATCACCTACCAAAGGAATTCTGTATACCTTTCCATTAGTATGAGTTTTCAGTATACAGTTTACTGTAGGGCATAGTGCCAAGAGTGTAGACACCAGACAATACCAGCTTTGTGATACAGCATGGTATTTTTCAGGACTCACATAATTATTAATAATATACATGGCATCTTTTTTTTCACCATAAAATTTCTTCATAAATATTAACTCACTGATCCTGACAACTCTCTTGCAAGGTAGCCTGCTGTCCCATTTTAGCAGAGATGTAAATGAGGCTCAGAAGTCCAAAGTCAAACTACTGCCTAGGCAATATTTTGACTATTTCAAAAACATTTAAGAACAGAATTTTCCAGGATTCCTCTTATATTTAAAATGTTTTCCTTTGCTCTTCTGCTATCAGAAAGGACTAGCCAAAGAAAATGAAGCCCAGGTTTCTTGCAGGCAAACCAACCTTAAACTGCACAAGAGCATTACACACCTCCAATTTACTATGCACAAAGGCTCTCTGGTGACACAGAGCTTGCAGCACATTCAAACATTTCAGAACAACTCAGACCCTTACTGTTCACTGCATCCAGACTAATATTTTTTTTAATATATTTGGACGACTTCAGGGGTGTGCTAAATAATGTTAATTACAGTTAGATTTTATCATTTGGATTTGGGAATTCTAAACTAAGCACTGCATGTGTGCAGTGATGAAGTACACCCTAAGGCCCTGCAGGGAACAGGGAAGGCAGGACTGAGCCCTTAGGCAGCACCAAGCAGCCTCACATTGCTCCCCCACTCACCCTGCTTCCAGCTGAGCCACAACAACTGGCTCAAGCCCTGCTTTGTGTTATCAGGTAACACTGACAAAGCAAAGATGGCTTGAAACCAACAGGGGAAAGAATGTGTGAATGAGGGAATAAGACAGAGATGGAAGGGTACAGAACATTATGTAGTGGGGAAAAAATGGACATAGAAGTCAAGGCACAGTAGGTCAGTCTCACATGACCGTCGTATTTTTTGAAGCTACTTAAACATGTACAGATTCCTGGTGAATTACACATCTTCTAGCTTAAAATAGAGGGGGG